CCGAGGTCGATGTACTTCTCCTTATGCTCCTCGTGGATGCACCGCCACCCGTCGTCCTTCTCTTTGGGGGCAAGGTTCGCCGCGACCGCCTGCTGGAGCACAAGGGCTTCGAGCTCCTTGTCATGGCGTCGGCGCTCCGCCTCCTTGCGCAAGCTGCGTCGGCAATGGCGGCCACGACCGCATCGACAACGGCGACGAAGTCCTCGGGCCCGACGCCGCCGCAGCGCACGATCTCCTCGGGCTCCTGCGGCTCCTCCGACCACTCCCTCTTCACGGGGAGAAGCCTCGCGCCGGAAGAGGAAGAGCTCACTGCACGGGTGAGCCACACGGCAGACCTCGAGCCCGTGACGGAGGAGCCCGCAATAGAGGACCCCGCAACCTGCTGACGGTCGTGATCCTCCGTCTCGCGACGGAGGAACCTCAACGGTGGCGAGAGGCCCCGGTCTGTCCACTTCTTGGCCCCGCGCTTTCTCGTGCCGTCCGAGCAGACACAACGATCGCGCTCGAGGTCGCGGCGACCGCCGAAGCTGCGGCCGGAGCTTCACATGGCGTTTCGAGGCAGATGTGGGCTCGTCGGCGGCGAGAAATGCGAGGGGGCAGTAGGGAATCGTGGTGGAACGCGGCGGCAGAGGGATAGGGTTTCGACCCATATCCCCCCTCCCGCAAACCCGTAGACATACCGCTTCTGGTGGGCGGTTTGCGGGCCACAGTAAATCTTTTTACTGGCCGGACGATATACGGGCTCTGTTCTGGCCAGAAAATTGGGCCGAGCCTGTATACTCGCCGGACTTATGCGGGTTTGCTAGATTTACAGGGTCTGCTAGACATGCTCTAAGAGCATCTCCAATAGCAGCCCTAAAAAAGGGTAGTATATGTTCTTTAGGCATTTGAGAGCGAAAAATGGTTTTCAACAGCGGCCCTATCCTATTTTTTCTACAACTAGCAAAAGGGCCCTTGCGTTGCAATGGGAGAAAAATAAACCATAATCTCCAATGACCACAATCACATTTTGCTGCATCACCGAGATACACTACCATTCTCAAATTCGTGAAATCATGAAGAATTTTTTAAACTCATGAACATATTTGAAATCGTGAATATTTTTCAAATTCATGATAATTTTGACAAATTTTTGAACACTTTCTAAAATCAAGAACATTTTTTTGAATTCATGAACATTTTATGCTATTTGCAAACATTTTTTTAAGTTGTGCATTTTTTAAACAATTTTGTTGAATCGGCAAACATTTCCAAAATGGACGAACATTGTTTTGGAAATTGGTGGATTCTTTTTGAAATTCATGAACATTTTTCTGATTCAACGAAGATTTTTTTGGTTTAACAAACATTTTTTGAAACACATGATCATTTTTCAAATCAGTGAACATTTTATGAATGAATAAACAATTTTCTAAGTCACCAACTGTTTTTGAATTTTTAGGAATTTTATCCATTCCTGAACTTTTTTAGAATTGACGAAACTTTGTTCAATTTCATTAATATCTTTTAATACATGAACTTTTTTTGATTTGCCAAACATTTGTTTTGAAAATGTCAAACATTTTTTAAATAAGCAAACAATTTTTTGCAAAATCGCAAATATGTTTTGAATACACAAACATTTTATGTTTTATCAAAGATTTTATGTTTATAATTTCTGGATTTTTTTGAAGTCTCAAATTTTTTAAAGTAGAAAAAAATGAAAAATTGGAAAAGAAAAAGAAAGAATAAAAAAATGAAATTTAAAAAACTGGTCGCGTGGACATGGGCCGGCTCAAACGGGCGAGCCGCGTCTTCACCCAGCATGCAGAGTGCAATATAGGAGGTCTCTACTGCTGGGCCAGCCCAGACGGGGGATTCTCCTGTGTTAAACACTTTTTATCACTTATAAGTGGCATTGGTGGGTAATATTTTGCAACTTTAGGGGCAATTTCCTTGACGTATCACAAGAAGCAATAGTCCCTTTATTTTTTTGATTGATTGAAAAAGCACTCGTATTCCATTCAACTACAAGCAAGATTGTACAAATACGAGTACAAAGACGCAAACATACATCATAGGTACAACCAATACAGTTGTCTCACCACATCACAAAGAGCACCCAAATAAACACCAAAATCGCATAAAAGTCATTGGGTCCATGTTCATCCTCAACCTTCAATGAACCGCCGTAATCTTCGTCGTCGCCGGAGCAAAGGAGGGTTGCCGGCCGAGAAGCAAGGGCAGGAGCACCATCACCACAAAGGCTTTGTGAGCCGCATATAGGTCCCATCCCAGTGGACGGGAACCAGTGTCGGGTTCCGGTGCATCGGCCGGAAACATTACTGTGCTCCCCTCACCTTAGATCCGCCACAGCCATCGACCTTCGTCGATGAGGAGCAGCATCACCAGCCACCACGCCCACCACATCACCACAGCCACAAATAGCCTACAACAAACGAATCTGGAATCACCGATCCAGATGCCGCAGACTCCTATACACTGCCACCGCGCAACTGACACCACCGGCCCGGTGATACCCCGCCTCTAAGCCCCGCAGCGTCGCCAGAGCAAGCGCCACCACGATGGAGAGTAGGCTGGAGGAATTTATTCCACCTCATTGGCGTCGTCCCCGCTCAAGCACCAATGCTTGGAGAAACTACCCTAACAACCCAATGTACAACGGCCGTGCGGTCGACGACGGTCTCCCCCACCTCCCGGCACCAAGAGGCCGCCGGAGGCGAGGGAGACCGGCGGCGACGGCCCACCGAAACCACCCCTCTCGCGTCGCCTGTTTTTCGCCTCTGGGAACCGTCGCTCTACGCTTGTGGGACTTAGACGGAATATCCCCTTTATTATTAGGTATAGATATAGATTTTGTTTGGGCAGCCCAATAAAATGGCTCTAGGTGCTGCAAATATACGGCACAACCGGGATGCACCATCCCCATAACTTCAACCCTAACATGATGTACCCACATGATGTTGGTAGTGTAACCGGAAACGCGGTGGCACATTACCATAGTTAACGTAAATTCTAACACTGAAGTGATCGTTTGCGCCAAGTTCAAGCACCACCGGTATAATTTACTTGCATACGGGCTTCTAGGGTTCTGTAAGTCCCTTCTTATAACTACAACACTCTCTTTTCTTTTTGACGAAAATATGGCCTTGTTA